GGAACAACAAGTAGGCCTGCAGAGCGAGAGCGAAGTGCTCTAATAGGGTGATATGGTACTACAAGGTCATTAAGATAAGATGGGGCCTGATTATTTAGTATTATTTAGGCCTTAGTTTTCACCGGAGCTACAGTATCCAGAGTCGTACGTAGTGAGGAGGTAAAATTATTAACAAGATGTAGATCTGGACACTGTGATCATGAAACACGCAGCTGCTGACCGGCTGAGACAGCCGACGCTATCGTCAAAGACTAATAGTATAATAATAATATTAATAAAACAAACACACTGTTGTGTCCTTTGAGCTTTTTAAAAGACGTTTTGATAAATGTGTTGTTTCAGTAACTCTGAAATAAACTGGTTGTTCCAGCTTCATCACAACATAAATGCATTGGGGTTTTTTTTTTTCTCTGCAGCTTATTTTAAGACTTTGATCAGCTCCAAATGTTGAAACAACAAATGTGTTTCATGCTGAAATAAACTTTCTCACAGCCTGCTGCAAACTCATTATTCCAGCCTGTTTGTGCCGCCTCTAAAATCCTGTCTGTTCATTTTAAATCATAAAGTCACTCTGACCTAAACTCATCAGCATCTCAGCCGAGCTGACCAAAGATGACGGTGTTTAGTTATACTGAGTCCTTTTTCTGAACCAGCAGCAGGTGTTAAACAACTGACAGGTGAACAGGTGTGTGCAGGTAAAAAGAGCTGTGTGCCAAAAGTCCTTTCTGCTCAGGAAGGTTCCTCGCTGAGAGACGTGAGCTGGAAGAACGGAAGAAAGCTAAGAAAAGGAGCTTCAATACTTGCTTTATTGCTCCCTTCCCTTAGCAAAGGTCAAACTGGAGCGTCCTTCATGAAAGGGGGAGCTGAAAACGCTGCCCCATAATTCATAACGACCGACCAGCGACATAGTGAACAAAGTGAAGCAGATCGTGTAAATGTTCCCGTTTCCATTTCATCCTAACCTGCTGTTTTATGAGCAGCTGCTAAAGCCACAGCTGGACGCTGAGCGAGTAAAAACTACTTCCTGTTGAAATATGTCTGTGAAG